TCGTAGTCGTAGTAGTCGTAGTAGTCTTATTATTAGTAGTAGTAGTAGTCGTAGTAGTAGTAGTAATAGTAGTAGTAGTGGTAGTCGTAGTAGTAATAGTAATGGTAGTAATAGTAGTAGTAGTAGTAGTAGTAGTAGTAGTAGTAGTAGTAGTAGTAGTAGTAGTAGTAGTAGTAGTAGTAGTAGTAGTAGTAGTAGTAGTAGTAGTAGTAGTAGTAGTAGTAGTAGTAGTAGTAGTAGTAGTAGTAGTAGTAGTAGTAGTAGTATTAGTAGTATTAGTAGTAGTAGCAGTAGTAGTGGCAGTAGTAGTAGCAGCAGTTTTAGTAGTAGAAATAGCGGTAGTGGTACTAGCAGTAGCCGTAGTCGTAGAATTGGTAGTAGTAGTAGTACTAGTAGTAGTAGTAGTAGTAGTAGTAGTAGTAGTAGTAGTAGTAGTAGTAGTAGCAGTAGCAGTAGCAGTAGCAGTAGTAGTAGTAGTCGTAGTCGTAGCTGTGGTAGTAGTGGTAGTGGTTTGTAGTAGTAGTATCAACAGAAGTAGTCGTAGTGATAGTAGTAGCAGTAGTATTATGATTATTATTATTATTATTATTATTAGTAGTAGTAGTAGTAGTAGTGGTAGTAGTAGTAGTAGTAGTAGTAGTGGTAGGAGTGGTAGTAGTGGTAGTAGTCGTAGTAGTAGTAGTAGTGGTAGTGGTAGCAGCAGTAGTAGTAGTAGGAGTAGGAGCTGTAGTAGTAGTAGTAGTAGTAGTAGTAGTAGTAGTAGTAGTAGTTAGTAGTAGTAGTACTAGTAGTAGTAGTAGTAGTAGTAGTAGTAGTAGTAGTAGTAGTAGTAGTAATAGTAGTAGTAGTAGTAGTAGCTGTCGTAGTAGTGACAGCGGTAGTAGTCGTAGTAGCACTAGACGTGGTAGTAGTGGTCGTAGTAATAGTAGTCTAGTCGTAGTAGTCGTAGTAGTCGTAGTAGTAGTAGTTAGTAGTAGTAGTAGTAGTAATAGTAGTAGTAGTAGTAGTAGTAGTAGTAGTAGTCGTAGTAGTAGTGTAGTAGTAGTAGTAGTAGTATAGTAGTAGTAGTAGTAAAAGTAGTAGTAGTAGTAGTAGTAGTAGTAGTAGTAGTAGTAGTAGTCGTAGTGTCAGTAGTCGTAGTCGTAGTAGTGGTAGTAGTAGTAGTAGTAGTAGTAGTAGTAGTAGTAGTAGCCGTAGTCGTAGTATTCGTAGTAGTAGTAGTAGTAGTAGTAGTAGTAGTAGTAGTAGTAGTAGTAGTAGTAGTAGTCGTAGTTGTAGTCGTGGTCGCAGTATTAGTAGTGGTAGTAGTAGTAGTGGTAGACGTAGTGGTCGTGGTCGTAGCGTAGTAGTAGTAGTAGTAGTAGTAGTAGTAGTCGTAGTAGTAACAGTCGTAGTCGTAGTCGTAGTCGTAGTCGTAGTAGTAGTAGTAGTAGTAGTAGTAGTAGTAGTAGTAGTAGTAGTAGTAGTCGTATTAGTAGTAGTGGTAGTAGTAGTAGTAGTAGTAGTAGTAGTAGTAGTAGTCGTAGTAGGAGTAGGAGTAGGAGTAGGAGTAGTGGTAGTAGTAGTTGTAGTAGTCGTCGCAGTGTAGTGGAAGTCGTAGTCGTAGTAGTCGTCGTAGTAGCAGTAGTAGTAGTAGTCGTAGTAGTAGTCTTTGTTGTTGTAGTCGTAATGGGAGTAATAGTCGCAGAAGTAGCAGTAGTAGTAGTAGTGGTAGTAGTAGTAGTAGTAGTAGTAGTAGTAGTAGTAGTGGTAGTGGTCGTCGTAGTCGTAGTAGTAGTGTTAGTCGCGGTAGTGGTAAAAGTATTTGTAGTAGTAGTAGTAGTAGTAGTAGTAGTAGTAGTAGTAGTAGTAGTAGTAATAGTACTAGTCGTAGTAGCCGTAGTAGTCGTAGTAGTCGTAGCCGTAGTCGTAAAGTAGTGGTAGTAGTAGTAGTAGTAGTAGTAGTAGTAGTAGTAGTAGTAGTAGTAGTAGTAGTCGTAGTAGTGGTAGAGGTAGTGGTAGTGGCAGTGGTAGTGGTAGTGGTAGTGGTAGTGGTAGTGGCAGCGGAAGTAGTAGTAGTAGTAGTAGTAGTAGTAGTAGTAGTAGTAGTAGTAGTAGTAGTAGTTGTAGTAGTAGTAGGAGTAGTAGTAGTAGTAGTAGTAGTAGTCGCCGTAGTGGTAGTAGTCGTAGTCGTCGTCGTAGTCGTGGTCGTAGCCGTAGTAGATCAGCAGCCGTAGTAGTCGTAGTCGTCGTCGTCGTCGTCGTAGAAGTGGTAGTAGTAGTAGCAGTAGTAGTAGTAGCAGCAGTAGTAGTAGTAGTAGTAGTAGTAGTAGTAGTTGTAGTCGCAGTCGTA